TCGGACATGAGCGGCGGTCGGGATGGGCGCCGGCACGGTTGGAGGGATGAGTGACGGGGAGTGCGCGCGAAGGGGGGTGGGGTGAAGAGGGGGGTGGCCATTTCGAGGTGGGGTGGGGGTGGGGAGTGGGAGGTGGGGGATGGGAGGTATGCAAAGGTGTTTGATGCGGATGAAGAGAGATAGGGTTGAGAGATTTGGTGGCTATGATTGCAGGGTCGGGAAAGTGGAAAAATGGAAAGAGGTGTCATTTTTTTGTGAAAACACCAGAAATGTGCGAATATATTTTAATCCGTGGCTTAATAGTAATAAGCCACGGATTAAAATATAATAACTTATTTCGCACCTGGCAGTTACCGAACTTCGCTTGGCTTACAGAGTGAGAACTGCAAGACGAAACTGATGGTGTGTGAGGCTCACGCTGTGAACCTCATTCACCATTTATTCCGCCTTACAGTTGTGGGGTGAGATGAGATGAGATCGAGGGATGAGATCGAGGGATATGATCGGGAACATGACAGGCTAGAACAGCATTTTTATAACAATCATTATATAACAAAATATAATGATAAGAAAGTGTTGTTGGTGAAATGGGGGAGGCGGTTTGGGGAGCCTGCCGTTCCGTGGTGAGGGTCGGCCGAGTCGTCTTCTCCCCCCCTTTTTCCCCGCAGCGCCCGTCACCCTCTCTCTTTTATTTCTACGAAATTCCTTCCAGAAGCGTCCACGCGTCCGGCCCGGATTCCGCCGGGCCGTACGCATGCGCTTCTCTAAAATTCAAATAAAATCTCGCGCTACAGTATAAAATCTCCCTCTACAGTAAAAATGCAATTTTCCCTAAAAATATCCCACATACAGTACTGGGCCATGGGCCATGGGCTGCTGCTGGGAGCGAAAGCAGACTCTGGGCCAAACCAAGGCGGACGGCGGTTCTGTTTCGGTAAAAAGTTTTGGCGACTGCCGACGCAGCAAGTGGGCCACCATTACAATGTATGAGGGTGGCGGAAACTCAAGTTCGCATGACGGACCGAAAGGGCAATGCAGAGCGATGGGGGTAACATTACTTAGGGGCGGGGTGAAAGGAAGAGCGCGGGACGGATGTGGCGAAGGAAGATGCTGGCGAAGGAGAGGATCGTAGAAAATCTCGAATATACGTGGACGACGCGTATTATTGTCCACGTGTGATATTAGGTTTTCTGTCCGGCAGGGACCGCAGGTGCCGCACAGGCGCGCGGCGCCGGGGCATGACCTGCCACTGGGTCCTGTCGGAAAGTGGACCCATCCAGTTTCCGGAACGCCCCGGCGCTGTGATTGGTGGAGGCGTGGGCCGGCTGGATGCGCGGGGACTTTGACGGCGCGGAGGGGCGCTGTAAAGAAGGCGGAAGGTATAGTGTCCACGTGCCGTGCTTCGGGGCGGCGGCTAAGCGAGCGCGCCGCGCGTCCAGCTGACGAGGGGGCGGCTGCGGGCGGGAGTTTGTGCGCGCTTGAAAAAACAAGCGGAAAACAGGTGCGCCCCCGCACTTACCGTCGCCGTCGCTTCCACACGTGTGCGCTTCCTCGCCCATGACGCCCGCGCTCTTTCCAGCACACT